ATTTTATTTAGATTGATTTGCATAATAACTCTGTTGTTTTTATCCAGTCAAACAATTCTTCCAAGCCCAGCATTTCTCCCTTTACTTCAATCACTGAGGCGTCACCATTTTCAAGGACGAAGACTTCTCGATGGGATTCCAAGTCACTCTCGCTGTTACGACCACCTCTTTGTAAACAGTCCATTACTGCACCCAGTTCTCAAACTTCCACAACCCAATCCAATCCGTTATTTGTTAATGTACCGCTGCCAGAGCATGGTGCAGACTCCATACCACAAATTCCCGCTGATAGTCCGGTCGACGCTTGTGGCCCAGTAGAACAATCGACAACTCTGGTCAGCTGTTTGCATATGTCTGATGTAGATGGATTATTGGATTATGTTGGGACAGACCGATCTCCATTGTGTCTAGACAGACGCCTGGAAAAAGACGCGGGTTTGCAAACTGCACCGTTGTTGAAACAGTTGAACCGGCAAACTGTTGCACGTTTACGTGCTGTACGACCCAGAAATGACAAACAGCCGCCTACTCCACCCGCCACTGTTTCCACCACCTCCGATGCCTCTAGCACCAATACGGTTTCAAAATCTGTTGAAACCTATGCACGGAACATCTCAGAGGAATCCAGGGTAAGTTTTTGGGTAGTTGCATTGCGAAGTTTTGAGTACAGAAAGAAGTTAATTTTTGTGCGTTGCAGGCATTTTGTGTTGCGCTCTTACGTCGCGAACGTGAAGCGTGCGTGTGCGCATCTTATGTCGGCATAGAACGGAATGGCCGAAGCAAATTGTGCAATGGTTACCGCAGTCAAGGTTCGTTGCACAACGAAAACCAAGAATACCCGACCTCTTAAACTGAGAACACATCATGACAACCGGTCATCGGACTGACTTGAACAATTTATACCAAACGGTATTACACAGTTATATTAAAAAGTTTGTGACTTACTAAAAAGTTGTTAAATGTGGCACAAAAGTCCTTTTATACACAGAAGAATGTAACGCAGCATTCGCTTGCCTTAGAGGCGAGCTGTTCACTCCCCCGCTCCAATTGGAGATACATTTTTGAAGGAATGGTCAATCGCACTCTGAGTCGCTTTTTTATGTCAATACCAGTTACATACACGCACGATTACGTTTTCCATCGACGAAGGTAATACAAAGTGATTGCGACTTATGCTTGTCTATTTTCTGTTCCAGTATAGCTCAATTTTTCTGCCGTTTATAAGACTCGGTTTAGATTGTGTCACAAAGATTTGGTCTCTTAGGCTTAAGAAAACTGAAAATGTTTTTGCGCGATAAATCTTATCTTCGCAACATTTCCGATACCTGATAACAAATATATCCAAAAGTGTACGGTGAAAAGAAAAAAAATCGTTACTTCATTTGTATACCACCTTCCATTTTAACTGTTTCACCTTCCGTTCACTCTGTCCTGTATCCCAATCCACCCATCCCCTTTGATTGTTAATGTTATTATCGCTGTATGTATATATAAGTATGTAGTATGTTTCGCGGTTCTTGCCGCTCGTCAGGCATGCGTATCCGGTATTTTTGTCAGTTCATTCATATACTTGTGCCCAGGAAGTGTATTTTCGTCACAATAACCCTGTTTTTTTTTAATGAAATATTTTATAAAGACTATGAAGTCGCGTTTGGTGCGGCCAGTAGCATCTAACCCACCTACAAAACATTGAATCATGGGATGGATTCTTCAATGGACTGACCATGAAAGATTTGTCTATCCTAAAGTCACCCTGTATTGTCTTACAATACAGTTAAAAAGACCATGATTTTCTCATTCAAAGTTTGATCTGTTGTAGAAACACCTTGAGTTAATTGAGACCGTTGACCACCCGTTACATGCATTTGCTCCTACCATCTTTAGACGATGTAATGTACGATGTGGAGTAACTCACTTTATTTAAAATCATTGCGCACCAAAAAATAAGTGGCGGTACTTTCTTGCATGTGTACACGATCGATGGTAATGCAGTAACTTGTTCTCAAAAAGACACTAAATAGAATTCTCCTTACACTTATCATGAACGTCCGAAGTCATTAATTCTTAATACAAAAGAATTCTCTCTGTTCAGTGTTCAAAACCCGCCTGCAAAACTATCTTTTTTACCTGTCACATTGGTGCTACAGGACGAGCCCAATATTCATGAGGACCTACTGTTAAATTATGGTAACTGGTGACATACGAGAACTTGGAATATAGAACTACACAGAATGGGTTGGGTGTTGTTTAGTTTCAGTTTTTACAACCAATAACTATGCACTTCTGTGCACTTTTGCTGTTTTATGACTGCTCATCTCCGTGATGGAGCAAAGGGATGATTGGGATATTGAAATCGGTGTGAATGAAAACAGAGCTTTCATGAAGACCAATGTTTCGAAGAAATTGAAAAGGTCACTGCTTACGACACTCAGCCATGGATTACAATGATCCCGATGCCCCCATCCATGAAGAGCGACCCATGTCAGCGAGTTTCCTGGCCAGGGTTTTCATACCCTCATTCCAGGTCTTGCTGTAACCACACTTTACTTTCTGCCATCACCTTCAGCAAGCAGCACGCACCGTGGCAACCAGTTTGATGAACGCGCCCCAACCGGCGTAATCGATGGAGGTCGACCACTTGACCTAGTGTGAGACTGCGAAAACCTCAAACACCGCCTTATCACGGTATTGCTTGTCTTATTTCCCCACCAAACTCGTGCACTGCTGCGTAGACAGCGGTGTTCGAATACCGACAACTGGTCTTTATTTTACTTTCGTAATGGCACCGTATAGCAGCACTGGCTGAATGTTGCAACGTACACAACTTTTCACAGACAGTTGGATGTCAAGACGGTGCTTTGTTGTCGTCCGGTTCAATACCACGCCTAACTTAGTGGGGCTTTTGTAGTTCGCCACTCTGGGATTAGGTTACTGGTTTCCGTCATTTAACAGCAGATATTCTTCATCATGGGGTTTGAGAGAGCAGAGCTGTATACTGCCGAGCGCGTCCCCAAGTCGTGGATCGGGGAACGGCCGCTAACTAGCGGTTAACGGTGAATAAGGTCGATTTATTCTCACTGAATAAGCGGTTGCGAACAATCAGCGGCAGTGCTCGAGGATGTGGTGGGTTTACGACTTGGCAAGGGTTCTCCGCACAAAACACCACATGTATCTTATGACAGCGCTGTGACGCGGTGAGTGTGGCCCGCCACTGAATACGGTCATTGCTCCCTTGTCGAGTTCCATCAACCCGACAAGGTCTTCCAGAGAAAGCGAATGAACCAATCGACCGGTCACCGGATGATCTGGAACAATACTGCCACCTTGTAGCTCGCGCTTGGTTGCGTAATGGCTAGAGCGCATCCTCGAATAAGACCTAATCTGGAGTGGGCGACCGAGTAGTTCAACAGCCCACAACGCAAACAATAGACTTCAATCTAATCAATAACTCGCTCTTTCAGTTCTCGCGCATGAAAAACGCTTTACACCGTGCAAATCTTCCTTTTTCCGGCTTTTATTCCACTTCGCATTAACCCCCTCAAACATTACCACTATCAAGATGTCCAGGCAATCGTTTTACCAGTTAGGCCTCGGATAGAAATTCCGTCCCTTATCTCTCGCGTCCTGCCTCGAATAGCGTCCAAGTTTCACCGAATCTTCCTCCACCAGTTGAAGCCATTCTCCGCCCTCGATGCCCATTCAAACTAGCCAAATTTATTGTGCGCACACTGATGCGTATAGGACAACAGGCCGGTTTAGTTCGTAAGATCGAGACAATAGCCATCGATGCGTGTTGCATCCAAGAGATTCGCATTCAAGACGAGCTTCGCCATCCGATTGACGTCCCCGTCAAACCCATTCGCGAAGTTTCATCTGCATCTTTCTGGGGACCCTGAGGCTGCGGCTTCCGTTCTTGCTGGCGTTGGTGTGGCTCTCAGTGAGAGAGCTGAAGCCGCGCTCCTGAATTGGATCCCAGTCGACAGTAGGTCATGCGCAGTGAGACTTAGAAGCTCGTGCATATTAAATAGTCGTCGCTCCGAAAGACGCAACTTGTTTGACGTCTCAGCCTACGCACCTTCGAATTGTAGCCCAGATACAGTCAAAGATACTTTCTACCAAAAGCTACACGACCTGTTGCGTAAAGCGAGTCGGGCTGATATCGCGATTTTAGCCGGAGATATGAATGCTAGAGTAGGTCGACTGATTTCGAGTAAGGCGCATCTTGGAGGTCCTTTCGGACTAGATTCCTGTCGCTCGGAAAACGGGGAACGGCTGTTGGCTCTCTGTTCCGACCACCGCCTGTTCCTCGCCAGTACGAACTTCAGACGCTCCAACTACCGGTACGCCACCTGGCGTCCGTCCTCCTCGAGTCAGAGACGGACACAGATCGACCACATCGCTATAAGCCACAAATGGTGGGGTTGTATACAAGACTGCCGATCGTACTGGAGCACTACCCTCGAATCCGATCACGCGTTAGTTTGCACCAAGCTGTCCATGTGCTTCGACACAGCGACGGTTAGACTGTGATAAGTTGTCTCAACCAGCACGCCTAACTGTCTTTCAGAACGCACTAGCTAAAAAGCTAGAACCAACCCCACCCGGTGACGTTAACCGGCACTGGTCGCTTATCAAGAATGCTCTGCATTCTGCTGACTTAGTTGTGGTCTGGCACGCCGTGCCGCGACACCTTGGATTTCTGCGGAATCTCTGCGCCTTCTCGACGCACGCCAATCAATTCCGACAGGCAACGAAATACGCCAGCTTACGCAAAGACCGCGAGATTTAGTGTACTCAACGTGCGTCAGAGATGGAACTTGCTGTCGCCATCGGTTATTCCCGTAAGCTATTCCATCTCACCCGGGTAACCGATAGGAAAGCCTTAGGTGCGAGCAAAACGATCTGCGAAGCTCACGGTTCGCCCATTCACAATCGACAGCGATGTCTTGAACGCTGGGCGGAGCACTTCAAGGCACAGTTTAGCTGGCAACCCGCGCCAGCTTTTCACACAGCTGTCGCAGCATACGTCCCATGGTCTGTCTCAACAGACCCATCTTCTGAGGCGGAAATCCGTAAGAAGGTCTAAACCTTGGGACGTCAAAAAGTGCCGGGCTCCGAAGGCCCTCCCCCAGCTCTATTTAAAGGTGGTGGAATAAAGCTTGTTAGAGAACTACAAGTTCTGTTCTCTAAAGTCTGCAACAGTGAGCAGGTCCCCCTCGTGTGGGAGTCGATTGTCGTCCCCATCTTCCAAAAGGGCCCGCGCAATGACTGCGCCAATCATAGAGGTATAAGCCTAGCGTCAAAGCTGTTGGTGTCCGTCATTCTCCGCCGATTGTACACCACGCGTGAGGAGCAGGCTGGGTTTCGCGCCGGTCGTGGCTGCATCGATCAAATCTTCACCCTCCGATAGCTGCTAGAGCACCGTCATGCTTATCCAAGACCAACGGTCATTGTATTCTTAGACACCCGCGCGGCCTTCGACTCTGTCGATAGGACCGCACTATGGAACTGCTTGCTGAGGAATGGAGTACCTAAGGAGTGTGTCGATCCTCAAAAAGTTGTGTCGTCATACCTCAGATCGAGTTAGGGCCGATGGCCAGCTTTCGCCAACCTTCGCCGTCTTCAGTGGAGTTCGACAAGGTTGCCCTATATTCCCATTCCTTTTCAACTTTGTCATAGAGGATGTTNGAATGCTTTGTCCGGTCTAGCAAACGGTGGAGTCGAACTCCTCCCAGGGAACAGAGTTCTTGACTTATAATATCCCGATGATATCGCCTTGCTGGATGAAAACACACAGGCAGTCCAAGACGCTTTAAACCGCTTGGCGATCGAGCTATTCAGGTATGGCATGTGCTTTGCACCTTCAAAGTGCAAAAAGCTTGTTCGAGACTGGCAGGAGCCTCTGCCTGCACTCACCCTCTGTGGTGATCAGCTGGAAGTAGTTGAGAGCTTTAAGTACCTCGGGAGCTTGATCGCAGTTGGTGTTGGGGAGGAGATCACATCACAAATAGCGAAAGCTAGAGCAGCTTTCGCCAACCTGCGACCTGTGGCGCTGCCATGACATCTGAGTATCTCATAAGGGAAGGGTGTACATCACCGCAGTTCGTAGCGTTTTGCTTTACGGTTGCGAGACCTGGTCCCTCCGCGTTGAGGATGCTAATCGACTTTCTGTATTCGACCACCGATATCTCCGAAGCATTGCTCGTGTCTGGTGGGAATATCGGGTGAGCAATGACGAGGTCCGTCGTCGTGTGTTGGGTGTGAATAGTCGTCCTCTAAAAGAAGTAATCGCTCTACACCACCTCCGATAGTTTGGTAACGTATTGCGTATGCCTGCCCATAGACTACCTTTCCCTGCTCTCTTTGAGTGTGCCGTGCAAGGATGGAAGAAGCGCCGCGGCGGCCAGACCATGACATTTCACGTCAAGGTGCGGTCTCCTCGTGATGATTGATATTGATCACAAAAGATCTTGGGTGCAACAAGAAAACAACTGGGTGTCCATCATTCTGAAGTGCTACTTTTCGACGTGTTGATCTCAAACCCAATGTTTTGGGTAAGCTGATTAATGCGACTGACAACCGACTGGAGGTTGTCCACGCTGTCCACAAGCACGACGACATCATTCGCAACCTTAATGTCTGCAATCCCTGTGCCCGGTTCAAGCTGCACTCCGAGATAGCCGACGAGTGCTTGTCGCACTATGCAGTTTGCGGTGTAACTGAATAACATCGGCGACAGGGAACAACTCAGCTGATTCTTCTTCATACGTACGGATGCGTGCAGGAGTCCCTGAGTAGTACGACTTCAAAAGCCTGATGAACTTTTCGGGTTCCCGGTCGGACCGTAATATGCGGTTAGGGTTAAAGGTAGTGTGGAATTCGATGAGACATGCTGTGGTGGATCGTTGGAACTTGTAGCGGTGTTCCAGAATCCTACGAAGATTAAAGAGTCCTTCTACACAGATTCTTCCACGGCGAAACCATCCCCCCACACCCCTAATCCGGATATTTCTTGCGACTGCGAAGCAATTAGGCGATATCACTGCAAACAATTTGGCAGCAATATCAATGAGACTGATATCCATATAATTTAAGCACCTTTTGATCTGTCACCCTTTTTGGAACAGGGATTGAAATTAAAGTTGCCCAATCTTTTGGAAAAGCTTCTCTTCCCCAAATGGAGTTGAAAAGAGGGAGCAGCAGATTGACGAGAGACAAGCTTTGAATAGCTCTATTTGTGTCCCGTCTTCTCCAGGGGCCTTCCTACTTTTCAGAGAAGTGACTGCATTGGTGATTTCCGTCCTACTACGTGGGTCATAATTGAGGTCTCCTAACTGGTTGCAGCCTGCGCAACAGTGACTCTGATGTCCGTTCCTTACCTAATGCGACAAGGATTAGACGAAATAGCTTTGCCTTTAGCAACGCCTGCCTTTTCTCAGGTAGTTCCAAGAGAGGGACCTGTAATTTACCTGTGAAACGAGTCCTGCGGCGAGCAGTCAGGTGGATCTTGAATCGGGCGCGTACAAGGGTATGGTCCGTGCCGTTCCTGTTTCCAGTTTCTGCACCGCGATAGGAACCGTAATCTCCCCCTGAATAGGCCCAGCGAGCACGTACCAAAATGTAACTAATATGATGTGCCGTTTGACTGTCATTCGAGCAAGTGTTTTCTGGTGTGCTGAAAACGGGTATTGGCCACGACCAGCAAATGAGACTAGGCGTTCGCTATTTTCGCAATGTTTTTAACCAAGGCCGAACATCCCAAGAACAAGCCGAGTATACTCGTCTGATGGACCAGTGCGTGCATACCGGTCTCCTATGATAAGGAGAACACCATGTTTCGGACTGCACTTCAGTGTGTCTTGAACTTGATTATAGAAGTCATCTTTGACGGGCGCTTCTGCATGTATATAACGTTAGAGCATAAAGAGCGATGACAGTCAGGTCAAACGGTTTACCCCTGAAGCGCGCTATGGCAATCCTGGGCGAAATTGGCTTCCAGGAGATCATGGCATTGTTGGCTTCGGTGCTCACGGCCATTGCTGCTCCGTGCAAACCGGAGTCGCCAGTTGACCCGGAAGTTTGTGTTGCTATATGGTACGTTGATTTGTTTTTTGCCACAGTTAGGCAATCGGAATTCCGGTTAGACCGCAGATGTTTACTTGTTAGTAGTGCAATGTATGCTTTGTAATGCACTGGCTTCCTGTGTCTACCAATGATCTAACATTCCAGAAAGCCACGTGGATGCTGGATTTCGCGTCCAGATGACTTAGGTTCCCAGGTTGCTCATTTGTCCCCTCAACCACTAAGAGGGCACAGGGCGAGTTGCTTCCCGGGAACGCCGTAGCACGAACGTGATGTAACATTAAGAAAGATCCATAAGGAAACTTGGGAACGAGGTACTAAGTGACGTCCTCAGTTTCGCTCGACTTTTGTTTGAGGGTTCACCTTTAACTGTTGCGCAACCTGCACCTGCACGGTAACAGGGTAGAACAGTTGGTAACCGGCAACCGTCACAACGGTTCATACGCCTTTCGGATGGCTCAGAGCCAGTTCAGGATCCCGACGTCAGTGAAGTTTGATGGCCGGTATCTAGTAATTGTCTCATACACTCTTCTCAAAGCTTGTCTTACCCGGGTGAGTCGGCAAGTAGGAACGGCGTTATTTGGTGGCGGGCCACATTTACGCACGTCGCGATGCAGTCAGCAGACNAGCAGACACTTTTAAGATATATCGGTTGCTAGCCAGAAACTCCACTAGGTGCTCTAGCATCGCCGCTGCTCGCCCGCGACCGATTATTCAGTGGGATGGCCCCCACCTATTCATGGTTAACCATCAAGGTGGCTGTTCTCCTATCTGTGACCTGGAGACGCGCTAAGTAGCATTCAACTGAGTTATCCGTAGGTAATCTATTGGCTACAGGTAGAATGCACTCAGCTACTGAAGACGATGTAGTGAAATGGTTTTGATCAATGGAAGACTATCTGACCTCAACATTGGTAGTCTGATCTCATCGTTACTCACGCAATGCCCGCACCATACGCCGGTGACGTTGTGCACACGATGGTTGTCGAAGACGGATAGCCATTGAACATGATCCGTTCGGAGAGACCAAGTTTTGTGGCCGCAGAGTAATGTGGCGCACGCTGCTGCGCAATACACACACCCTTTTAGTGAAAGGCATACGTCGCGCCAGATCCAAAGGTGTCGCAGATTAGTAAACGGTAACCTTGGCCGCCAAACTAGGCCAAAGCAGCCGAACCACTTGAGTACAGTAAGCGAATGACAATCGCCTGGACCAAGGGTAAAGTAGAAAATAAAGTTACCTAAGGCGGTGGTGGCCAAATGGTTAGGTCACCAACTAGTGACCCGGGTGTCTCGGATTCAAACCACTCCACTGCCGCCCGTCTTCCCTATATCTGTATTTTCCCCAGGCAGCCTTTGTATGGCCGCAGTTCACTTCCTGAAAGTTGACTGTACATTTTTATATTCAATAAATAGAAAAAGGAAGCAAAAAGACATCTATTTATTTATTTTATTTACCTTCGATCGAATGACTGGTACGCGATAAACCTCATTGACAGCTTTCTACGGTTCGATCCTGTGTCCCATGTCTAAAAGATGAATCGTGGGTGGTGTTCCTTAACCCTGCGGCAAACGCCATATCGTGCCACCTACGTAACATCCACCACAGACATATTTAACAGAATAAGTTAAAATGGAGGAAGTCGGTTTAGGCAGTTTGTCTTTCATTTGCATTTGCACCAGCCGTGATGTAGAGAACACCGATATAAGTTAAGCTGCCAAGTAAGTCGAATTTACAGTTGCTTCCGGTGACATTCAACCATTACGGGAAAAGGATAAGGACATACTATCAGTGCCCAAACAGTGCTATTTACGTTGCATTGCATTAGTCTGGTTTTGCAATCCGAAAAGCAATACCAAGGTTCCGCGCACGGTATTCGTGAACGTACATTGCAACCAGTGCTTGATCTTCTCAAACTACGAGGGTTGGGGCCTGTATTACGTGTCACTGGATAGCTTTCTTTCACGTGATTTTGAACAGGACAGGTAACGAGTGGAAGGTGGTCAAACTAAGACCTAGTTGAGGGTATGAAAGCTTAGACCGGGTGAAGTTTCCCAAGCAAAACTGATTTGCTTGTCTCTTGCATCATTTCATGCCCTAAACTTTAAGCTTCTTCTTGATGAGCCGATCAAACAAATAACGCAAAGACCGATGGGCGGAGTACTTCAACGAACAGTTCAGCTGGCCAGGCGCTAACCAAACGGTTAGAAAACATCCATCGCCTAGTGGTTTTCGACAATCGATGCTTGCGTAGTGGGATGGAGTAAGCGGGTTACTAACTTAGAAGTAAGTCGTCGGATGTTTGGGAATATATGGAACAAAACTCGCTATCGCACCGAATTCAACTTAATAGCCTCCGTTGGTTATGACACGTCTTGCGTATGTCCGACGGTCGCCTACCGCAGCGTGCCTTGTTTGTAGTGGCTGTTGCAGGCTGGAAAAAGCCACGTGGAGGCCAGCAGATTACTTGGAGACGAGGCATAAAGAAATGCACAGAGCGATTAGGTAAATTAGGCGTCTTCCGGGATGGGGTTCGAAAGATTTCGAAATCACATGGTTGGAGACACTGAAGGTCATGGCTGCGAACCGACAGCAATGGCGATCATGCTGTCACTTCTTATCAGTCCAGAATGCTTAAACTAGTAGGTATGCACAGTTGGGTTATGTACTCTGTGTGTTGACCATAAAGATTCGCTTTCTTTTCCCGTCCCTAAAAATAGGCCCCATCCCTGTCCTCCTTACACATTCTTACTAACCTTGTATGCAATATGAGTTTGGCAGTGATCAGTGAAGTTTGCTTCACTGTATTACACTGTACAATGATGGTGCTGATGCAAAGACAACAAACAAAAATGGCCGTAAAATGGTACAAGCGTCAGGTCTGTGATAACTGACCCGGCGTTTGCTGAAGTCGCAACTGATGCCAAACACCATTTCCGAAACAAAGGCACCATAAGGCAGAAGGTTAAAATTAGTTTGGCCCAGCTCAGCAATGAACAACGCTGGACTTTTAACTAAATGTGGTTAAAGTCGTTTCACTTACCTCATGGGAACGATGAGGCGAGTCACTACAGCCGGGTATAGGCTTAAAATGAACAGGCAATCCAGAAATTCTGAGCGGCCCAAGTTCCATGACACGACCTGAACGACTAATTCGGGTAGCACCGTTGTGAACCGTAATAAGCTGGCCCGTGCGGGATACGGTAGAAGGCGGTGAACGAACAGTGGCCACATTGGATAAGTGATTTGGCTCCATCGCGGCAGTGGAATGTACGTTAGACCCGAGTGACTAACATGAAAATAAAAATATGGAGATAGAGAAACATTTTAATTACGTTAGAACAAAAGAGCAAAAAAACTCAATGTTGAAGTTACTTCCTTGGCTCATTACCAGGATTATTTTACTGGAGCCTTTTGCAGTCTACTGCTCCGAACGAAGACTACGCGTTCTTATAACTGAACAACAGGTCGTCGCAACTAGTGTTTACCCCTTCGGCTGTTTAGCACGGGTCATCAAGTACAGCAAATCACTTATGATTGCAACATATTACTGACAAGCATAACCATTTAAACAAAGAATCAAAAGCTCGTTTTGCGTCTCAACATTATTATTTTAGCATATATTTATTAATATATATATATTTTAGCATAATAAATTAAATTCCACACATTTACAGGTGTGTTGTATTCCACTGCCCTTGGAGGTCCTATTTGGACGAGCAACGTTACTGGGGAAAATCCTTTGAGAATCCAGTACCCGGGTAAATCCTGTGCGGTTGCAACAGTTACACTCTCAAAATATAAAGATTATTGATTTGAAACTCCGTTTACGAATACAGATTTTCAACAAAATAACAATAATAACATAAGACGTTGAAACCTAGTATATTGCTTTCTTAACTACACATCACCGGGTGATGAGCGGATTATCGATTGGCAGTATGACGACAGGATTTGAGGTATGTCGATACAACTCTTTGAAGGTAGACAGTTACTTCTTAGACTCTCTATTCCTCAACAAACATTT